GACGGCAATTATCGCCGAGATAACCGACTAGAAATTTATCTCCCTGATCAGATTGATCCCAATCAGTTATCTGGCTTGACGTTAGCACGTTCTAATTATCAATAAGATATTAATTATTGTTAAGATGATGAAGTGATGTTATCACACACCCCTAATTAGCAATAAGGGGTAATATTCTAATTATTAACTCTCACAAACTTCAAGAAGCCACTATAGTCTCATGTTGTGTAGCAATCTTTCGCATATACGAAAGAGTTCTACACGGAGAAAACATCGTAATAAAAATTACAAGAAAATTTTGTGATTTTAGACCGTACATAAATTATAATCGAAATTGCTATATATATTTCTCCTTTTTAAATGTCATGTAAGTTTGACTTTGTAACTACAAAATGACTGTAATTAACATACTTAATATTTTTTTATCGTATATATATTCAGTAGATCATCAAGCTTACTATTTCTATAGTAATTTATAGTCCAGTTTTACAAACAGAAAAAGTAATTTTTCTGCAGTACTCTCTTCATGCAATTCAAAAACTGTGAATAATAATCTTCATTATACGATACATATGTGTGGATTTTTTTACAGTTTTTGAACTATAATTTTTTGATACCTGCAAAGGATAAATTGGAGAAAAAAATATGAGCCCCCTGCTGCGCGCTACTATAGAGGTTTCCCGGATTGTTAACAAGGTCCTGATAGGCACGACTTATCAGGACCCGATAACATTACCTTATACGCGAGCCAGATAACTGATTGGGATCAACCTGATCAGTACCATGGGATAAATTTCTGATCGAGTAACGCCAACTTAAAATATGCCGCGGTCAGTTCGCATATATTTCTCCGTACGTCAGACTCGGAAACGAAATTGACCGACGGACAGTTCTCGTCATTAATTACCATCTATCTGCGGAGGTTAAGGCGGCCTCGCCCGCAGCGGCGAGGCGCGCTCGCGCTCGCCGGGTGAATCCTGTTTCGCAAGCCCAGGCAGGAATACCGCCGCGGAAATTAAAGATATAATTCTCGGTTTATGAGCCGGCTCGCGATTAGGGCTCGTCTAATTGACATAAGAATGATAGAACGGGCCGGGCTTTTATAACCGAGCGGCGAAATCATTTCCTTACGACGAGGAAAGCGCAAGGCGCTTTTCACCGCGGCTTATATTAATCCCTGCAATTTTAATGCCCACGACCCCGCAGCCAAATTTCAATAAGGTCGCTCTTGCCCCTCAACGGGCGCGCCGAGCTCGCATAATTGATTTCCAGTTCTTTTTCCTACGCGACAAACTTTTCCCCGCTTCTCGCGCAGAGGTACGCGCTTGTGAACCGCAACAAGAATGTGTGAGATTTCAGCAGAGATATGTATATCTCACGTCAACTATATGTATGTGTCTCTTTCCTTCTCGCCGAGGAATATATTGTTTGTAAATATATTTGCGATACATGCGGAGTTTCTTTGGGAAACGAGTGCGTTTTCAAGGCAAATTAGATCGCCGCTCTGCGCGTGCATCGCTGAAAATTAATTCAAGTCCCCTCGGATACGGGATTATTCCTCGTGGCACGCACGTGGCGATGGAGAGTTCCTCGGCCGAGAGGACGCGAGAGCACACCACGTCGCGGCGGCTTTCGATTCCGATTCGCGAGGCGTTTTCGCGAGTGGAAGAAAGATAAGCGAGTGAGATCGCGGAGTAATCGTTAAAGCATCTCGGAATCAAGTCGATCCGAATAAGCCCCGGGGTGGATGCAAGGGCTGGTGTTTCGTCGACGACGATCTCTAATAAAGTTCAATTATCCCCGGAAACGTTTGAGAGCGACCGAGGGACGGCAAGGCGGCCGGGCGGGATAGGCAGAATGTGGAAGATACGGAGGACAGGAGGAGGAGAGGGAGAGAGGGGGGAAAGGGGTTCACAGGGCGGGGTGCAAGGCAGAGCGGGGCCGTCGAGAGAAAGAGAAACCGGGAGAGATGATAATCTAAACGATCGCAAAGTGGGCTGCAGAAACGCGCCGAAATTGGCAATAACAGGGTGGCGAGGGGATAACGGGGGCTGAGGGGGCG